GCCCAGACTGGAGTGCAGTGGCCGCTCCCGGCCACCGCAGCCTCGACCTGCTGGGCTCCGGCGATCCTTCCGCCTCAGCCTTCCAATAGCCGGAACTACAGGTGCGCTACCACGCCTGGCTAATTTTTGATTTATTGTAGAGATGAGGTCTCGCCAAGTTGTCCAGGCGGGTCTCGAACCCATGGGCTAAGGCAATCCACTCATCTCAGCCTCCCAAAGCGCAGGATTACAGGCTGAGCCACCGAGCCCGGCTTATTTAAGTGATTTTCGTAAGAAGTCTTCGAAGTTGTAAAGAACCAGTAATCAGATCTAAGCTTTATATCCAACTTCCATCAGTCATTCACACCCAAAAGTGGTTAGATTAAGTAGCTGTAACTAAGGGGGTCCCTTTTAGAAGTGAAAGCAGAGGTGGAAGTCAGGTACCCCTTCAAGGGGGCCAGTTTTGGAAATGCAAACCGATTAAATAGAAACCATCACAAGCTCACAGTCATATGTGTAGATTTGAAGCAATTTCCCTGAGAATGTCTCTCTTTTTATAGAGAACACTCACATCTGAAGGTCTAAGTAATAGCAGGCAAAAAGGGAAGACGGTCTCGGTGGTCTGAGAGCCGCATCCCTGGAGAGATGGCCTAAGGAATATTCCACGTACTTATTTATACCCTTGTGATCTTTTCTCTTCCAGCGCTTTCCTTTTAACAAAGCTTTAACGTCATGTCTCACAGACACCCTTTTCCGATGATAAAAGCAAGGGGCTTTTCAAGTGTTCAGGTCTCAGGTAACCTCCTAGGTTTGGGGGTCGGGGCTTGGAGGGCATGTCACTTTCATCCTTGCCCTTAGACGGTGCTCCCAAAGTTTTTCCCGTTCACCTGCTTTTCTGGTCCCTCCTGAAATCTCCCTCCATAAACCTGTCTAAATGATGTGGGAACTTTCTAGCAAGTGAACACACGATTTTCCTGCACTGGAGGCACACCTGGGCTGTGTCTACCCTCACAAATGACCTCTACGGCTGCAGCTGCTAGCGTTTTACTCTCCTCTCCTTCAGCAGCCTGATTGGAGTTCTTCTATAGCCCTCTCTCAGGCCTCACACCCAGCACTTCTGCATTTTCACAGTCGCCTTGCATCACTTAGGAGGTTGGTGAGGGCGAACTGCCACCCTGTGGAGAGGGGACCTCGGCCACACACAGCCTCGTAGCCCAAACAGCCAGGCTCGCCCCCGGCAGGCAAAGTGCGGGTCAAAGGTCAATGCACACTTTTGAGGGGGGATTTCGTTATGCCTTATGCTCTTTGCCACAGCTACCACAACATACATGGTGACAATAATGAGTATATTTACCAAAAAAAAAAAAAAAAAAGGCACAAGTAGATAGACACTGTCATGTATTTCGTTGACGAGAAGCGAATGGTTCTCTGTGATTGCTTAATGTACCCTGGTTTCCCTCTCACATCTTAATTAGCACAACTTTTTAACTTCTTAATTTATAATGGGTGTTTTAACGTAAGCAAGCCCCGCTAGTGTTTGACAGATGGTTAATGTCAAAAGCCCATGGAGACGGCTTCTGGTTAGCCTCTGGTTTTGTGTTTTCTAGGCAGGAGAAATGTTTGACTGCGCTGATAATTTGTAAGCATGCATCACCGTCAATTTTTATTGTCCTCCCAATTCCCCCGTTCTCCCTTGGACTTCTCTTCTGCTCCTCACCCCGCAGGGGCCAGAAACCAGGCACAAGCCTGCCATAATGGCCCATGTGATAAGCCTCATAAAGTTATTTTTCTCAATTAATGGTTTCACTGACAATTTTACTGCTTTGCTCTAAGCTTCTCCGTTCCCCTGGGCATCTGTGCACATGTCTAGGAAAAGCCTCATCCAATCCAGCAAAATTGGCCCCTCAGAATACAGACTGCACTGTTTAAAGAAGCTTATCTCTCTCGGCACATAACACTTGAAAATACATTTAAATAGAAAGTAATAGAGCCTTAAAGCAGGACTATAAAAGTGATGTATTCATGAGTACATACTTATTCCTCTCCCAATTGACATCCGTTTTATATTAATTTTCCTGGAGTGTGGAACATCGGCTCTTTTGCAAATCTTTACTGCTACATGTGAACTTTTTATTCCACCCTTATTCCTTTCTGCTTTGCACCAAGGAATCTCATCTTGTGCTGACAGAGATACATGGGGTTTCAGAGCCACAATTTGGGAAATTCTGCTATGAAATGATAATGCTCCCTCGTCACAATTACTGACTTTATTAGGTAGTCAATTCGCTGTTTTATAATTAGAAAAAGTTCTTAATTCATTTTTTCCAAAGTTACTTTAAATGCACTTTTATAAGCATGCTCCGTGAGCAGCAGGAAAGCTAGGGAAAGCACAGAGGAACATTTGCTTAGGCAGAAGCAATTTCTGGTAGCCCAATCCCTGTCCAAAAGACTCAGCAGAAGAAAGAATCATTGGTAATAATACTCCCATTATATCATATAGTTTTCAAAGCAGTTTTATAACACACCAGTTCATCCAGTATTTTTTTTTTTTTTGACAGATGAGAAAACAGAGGCTCAGAGAGATTAAATAAAGGGCATCTTCAAGGTCACATGGTTTGTCTGTCAGTCAGTGTCAGAGGCCAGATTTAAACTACCACTTGATAATTCTGATTTTAATTAAAAAATTCAATTTTGAAAGTCAGATTAGAGATCTGGCGATTTTCATTAATGTTATGGTGGTGAATCTTTTATAAGTGAAACTTACCAGTGACTGTGCTTTCCTTAGCCTAGATCTGTCCTGCAATTTATTTTTCTTATCATGTGACTGTCGGCTGAAATCTGGAGTCATTTCAGTTCTCTTTCTTCTTCTGTAAATTGGAAAGCAGTGGGAAAGTTATAAATGATCATTTTAAAACTTCGGTGGTTTGCATAGCTATTTGTCTCTTTGATTTTGTTGTTCCTGCAATTTAGAAGATTGTCATCACTCAACTGGAAACAAGCCAAATGTCTATCAATAGAGAATGGGTTGAATAAACTCTGGCATCTCCACACAATGGAGTACTATGAGCTGTAAAAAGGAAGACAGGATATTTCTATATTCAACTGTGGAGGGATCTTCAGGATATACTGTTACATGAAAAAGGAAAGGTGCATTCCCATTCATTTCACAAAGGAGGTATTAAAATCTCTCGATACATATTGTATGTCTGTATTTGCTTGGACTTTTTAAGATGGTAGGATTAAACCATGGATTAATGGTTACCTATAAGTAGGGTTCCCATGGGAACTGATCAAGAACAAGGATTATGGGGGAATAGGGACCAGAAGCTAGAATTCTCCAAATACACCTTATTTTGAATTTTGAAACCATCTAAATCTTTCTCAAAATTATAAAATAAAATGAAGATGAAAATACCTAAAAGTTAAAAGCAAAATGAAACACACGATCTTGTCTGTTGAATTGGCAGCACTACCATACAAAAAGGAGTTACTATTACATGTGACTCAAACACAGTAATTTGTCTGTACGTTCTTAGTAGAATATATCTCAAGGACAAAAACACAGGCAGGATAATTTTAAACTGTTTTCAGTAATCATATTGTTTGCTTTAATATCAGTATTTGTTTTCTAGAACTATCACAGGTATTAGGGTAAAGCAGGAATCAGCCAACCACAACCCACAGGCCAAATCCAACTGCCTGTTTTTATAAAGTTTTATTGGAATACAGTCACACTTATTTTTTGCACATAGTCGATGGCTATTTTCAGGATCAATGAACAGAGTTGAGCAGTTGTGACAGAGGCCATAGGTCAAAGACTTAAGTATTTCCTTCCTGCCTGCCCCTTGACAGAAAAAAATTTGCCTGAAGTAATGGATCTAGGCAATGAGCATCCCTGACTACCAACATCACAAAAAGAGAGACAACCAAAAGTTAGGTGTCCCATGATGGAAATATATATTGATGTTCATTATATACTCAAGCCTCCAGGTCTATCTATTGGTGTGGCCAGGTAAGGGGGACAGGGTCACATATTAAGTTACATGTTGGTGGTGCAATCAACAAAATTCAGAATATGAGAAGCTCTCCAGGATAAATGACCAAATAAATTGCAAAAAAAACCCCAAACAAACCAGGCGTGGTGGCTCAAGCCTGTAATCCCAGCACTTTGGGAGGCCGAGGTGAGGGGATTGCCTGAGCCCACGGGTTCAAGAACAGCCCGGGCAACTTGGTGAGACCTCATCTCTACAATAAATCCAAAAATTAGCCGGGCATGGTAGCACACACCTGTAGTTCTGGCTACTTGGAAGGCAGAGGCAGAAGGATCCCCTGAGTCCAGCAGGTCGACACTGGGGTGGCCGGGAGTGTGCCACTGCCATAGCACTCCGGCATGGGTGATGGAGTGCGACTCCAACTCAAAAAAAAAAAAAAGGACAGAGGGGAGACCTATGAATCAGAAAGAAACCTACTTAAATGATGCATGGATCAAATGTGTTAGGTCAAAATACCAGTGGGGGGCCCCTCCAAAACGTTAGGTCAGCCTGAGGGGGGGCAGGTGTCTGGTCTGCGATCTGGAGCGATGTGAAGGATGCAAAGAATTGCATAGAAGTTAGATCGGAAATTGTAGTTTATTTAGAAAGTAAATGAGAGAGAGAGGAGATGCACCTCCCCAAGGGAGGGGAGGGCGCCAAAACTACAAAACATGGCGGCCATAGCTCAAAGAGCCACATGGACACGCCAGAGTTTGACAAAGCAATGGCAAACGGCTGCTTGAGGTTGACGGCATTGAAGCCTTCCCTTTGAGGGGGGCAAGCAGTTAAGAGAACGGGGTGGTGGTCTGTCCCATGTCACCACTCATCACGAAGGGGACCCGTAAGTACAGACAGGCAGGCAGATGAGTGGGCTGGTCACATGATGGTTGCCATGCTGATGGGGTCTGTGTCATGTCACCTTGTCAACAAAACAAGCTGGGGTGGGGTTGTAAAACAATTATTAATAGCTACCTCTGAGAAACGGGTTCTGTCCTTGATTAGAGGGTAAATGACAGTGAAATGCTAGAAAAACCGGACAAAGTTAAGCAACGTTCAAATGGCTGCGCTTTAGTTAAGATTATTTCATTAAGTCATTCCATGTTGGCTTTTCACCTTTTCAAAATGCAATATGTAGATTTTATTTGGAACCTGAGTAAACAAACCAACTGTTTTAAAAAATCAAACACTTAATGAGACATTCTAGGAAACCTGAAACCTGACTTGATATTTGATTATAAGAAAGATCATTCATTGATTTAGATGTAATCACAGTATCATGTTATGATTTTTAGAAAGTGTCCTTATCGTTTAAGAAGATGTCCTGACATATTTAGGGATGAAATAATATGACATTAGGATCGGTCTCAAAAATAATCCGGGGGAAAGGCAGAGTAGGTGAGGAATAAATGAAACTAGATTGGTCATGAGTTGAAAATTGTTCATGCTGGATGAAGGTTATATGGGGTTCATTTTGCTATTCTCTCTACTTTTGTATGTTTTTAAAATTTCCCTTATGAAAAGTTTTATTTAAAAAGATTGCTGGCCAGACTCAGTGCCTCAATCTATAATCCCAGCACTTTGGGAGACCGAGATGAGTGGACTGCCTGAGCCCGCGGATTCAAGACCAGCCCGGGCAACTTGGCAAGACCACATCTCTACAATAAATCAAAAAATTAGCGGGCGTGGTGGCGTGCGCCTGTAGTTCTGGCTACTTGGAAGACTGAGGCAGAAGGATCATCGGAGCCCAGCAGGTCGACACTGGGGTGGCCATGAGCATGTCATTGCACTCCAGCCTGGGCGATGGAGTGAAACTCCAATTAAAAAAAAAAAAAAGACTGCCTTTGCCTAAAATATTTCTTGCTGTTTAATTTTCAAAGATTTCCCCCATTTCAAACATATGAAAAAATTGAAAGAATAGTTCAGTGATGACTCATATACTCTCCAACTAGATTCAACATTTGATAACATTTTGCTATCTTTTCTTTGCCTCTCGATATACATACCTATATGTATGAGGGGACCAAAAAAACCCAAACAAAAACCAGAATTATCTTTTGGAGTGCTGGCTCCTTATAGTACAGGATTCCCCCACTAGGTAAGTGTTCTAAGAACCCATCTGCATCAGTGTACCAGTTAACATTGTAGGAAGAGGCTGCATTTGGTTTCAATGAATTCTTTTGGGAGATTCTTTTGATGCGCTTGCCCATTTCACGATGGGTGATTTACAAGCACACCTGCCCATGCCATGCTGAGTGTTCAGCAGTTTTTGACCAAAACCAGCATGACTCGTGCTTCACCCTCCTTATTTACCCAACATCAGCCTGAGCGGTTTTTTGTTTGTTTATTTGCCTGATGAAGAACAGGCATATGACGTCGAACGGAGAGTATTTTGAAGGTGACTGAAGTCTAAACATGGAAGAATAAATATACCATTTTTTAATAAATAAATTCCTGGTTTTGGGGGGTCCTCTCATATACAGACACCATATAGCTGTTTTTTTGGCTAGGCCATAGGAAAGTAAATTGCAAACACCATGATGCTTCACCACTTATCTCCTAAGATAAAGACATTTACCTACACAACCACACTAGAAAATGAAGTTATACCATAGAAAATGAAAGTCATTCTTTACTTTCATATAATATGCAGTCCTTATTTGTCCCAACAATGCCTCCTCCTTCGATTTTTTTTTTTTAGAGTCAGGTCTCCCTCTGTTGCCCATGCTGGAGTGCAGTGACACGGTCATGACTCACTACACAGTCATGGCTCACTACAGCCTTGAACTTCTAGGCTCAAGCTATCCCCTGTCTCAGTCTCCCAAATAGCTGGGACAACAGGCATATGTCACCATGCCTGGCTAATTCTTTATAGAGCTGGTATCTCTCTATGTTGTCCAGGCTGGTCTTGACCTCCTGGGTTATTTATTTATTTATTTTGAGTTGGAGTCTCACTCTATTACCCAGACTGGAGTGCAGTGGCCACTCCTGGCCACCACAGCCTCGACCTGCTGGGCTCCAGTGATCCTTCCACCTCAGTCTTCCAAGTAGCTGGGACTACAGGCATGCACTATCACACCTGGCTAATTTTTTGATTTATTGTAGAGACAAAGGCTCACCAAGTAGCCAGACAGGTCTCAAACCCCTGGGTTCAGGCAATCTCACCTCGGCCTCCCAAAGTGCTGGGATTATAGTTGTGAACCACTGGCCAGATCTCCTGGGTTTTTTTTTTTTTTTTTTTTTTTTTTTTTAGTTGGTGTCTCACTCTGTCGCCCAAATTGGAGTGCAGTGGCTGCTCCCGGCCACCGCAGCCTCGACCTGCTGGACTCCGGCGATCCTTCCACTCTAGCCTTCCAAGTAGCCGGAATTACAGGTGTGCGCTACCATGCCCGACTGATTTTTTTTTTTATTGTAGAGATGAGGTCTTGCTGCCCAGGTGGGTCTCAAACGCACGGGCTCAGGCAGTCCACTCACCTCAGCCTCCCAAAGGCGGGGGATTACAGGCTGAGCCACTGAGCCCGCCTTCTCCTAGGTTTAAGCACTCCTCCTGCTTCAGTCTCTAGAGTATCCTGATTATGGGTACATGCTACCTTACTTGGCTGTACTAAATTCAGAATTTATAAATAAGAGTAATATGTATATATAAAATATAATAAATATAATGAGAGCCAGGTTTCTTACTGTCAGAAAAGGGAGGTACAAACATGGAAGGGAGAAAGAACTCTAGGGTGCTGAATTGTAATTTAATATTAAAAGAAACTATAATGCTAAATCATTATAGCTATAAAATGCAAACAAATCATATGAACAGGCAAATTTGCTAATAATTGTTGACTTACTTTTCAATACTTTTTGCTTCTATATATTGAAAAGCTTTTGTATTTCACAGTAAGTTCTATTTTTATCTCTTCAATATACCGAAATACCAATAAATTGTTTATTTTTAGTTTGTTTGAGTTGGAGTCTCACTCTGTTGCCCAGGCTGGAGTGCAGTGGCACACTCATGCCTGCAGCCTCAACCTGCTGGGTTCAGGAGATCCTTCCTCCTCAGCCTTCCAAGTAGCTGGAACCACAGGCATGCACCACCACACCCAGCTAATTTTTGATTTATTGTAGAGATGAGTCTCTCCAAGTTACCCAGGCTGTCTTGAACCCCTAGGCTCAGGCAATCCTCTCTCCTGGGCCTCCCAAAATGCTGGGATTATTGGTGTGAGCCACCACGCCCAGCTAATTATTTCTAAAAACAAAGGAGTCGAGAAGTAACATGGAGCTTCTTACCTTTGCCAGACATTCTCAAAGGGGTCACAGTTTTCTAGGTAATTAAAACGAATGATATCTGTGGGATGCTTGTCAGAGGATCTCCAAGGAGGAAGTTCTTTCTCCCCTGGGTTATTCTTCTTTCTCAAGGAGGAAGAGGACCGAAAAGCGGATAAAGGTGACTGTTTCTCCCCTGGAGAACTGCTTGCAACTGGCTGAACATTGGCAATGGCAAATCCATTTTTTGGCGGAGTCTAGGAGGAGAAAATTGTTACTTTTCTCAAAACACTATAATAATAAGCAAACAATAATAAAACAAGGCTGTCGTCGTCCCCACCACCATCACCACTGTCACGGTCATCATCATTGCCATCACCGTGATCGTCGTACCATGTATCGTCACCACCATCATCAACACCTTGGTAACTGTGATGATACTGCCCCAGGAGTACTTCCCACGTTCCAGGCATGGTCTGAGGCAGTTTTCATGCATTATCTCAATAAGATAAAGGTTCAATAGCACAACAACCCTATATGGTAATCATTAGTACTCCCATTTTACAGAAGAGGAAAGTGGGATAGGAGAAACCAATAGGAGAGGGTGGGATACAGGGGTCTTGACCTGCTGGGCTCAGGTGACCCTCCTGCCTCCGTCTTCCGAATGTGCCCACGGCTATAAGAGTCCTAAGTCCCAAGGCCAGAGTTTGAATCCGAGACTGTCTTGCTTCAAAAGCCCCCACATAAAAACTCCCTATCCTACTCTTCTGTCATATCATCATCTAGTTTGCCACCACGGCAGTTAATTTGTTAATAAAAAGCACAACTTCCCCCAAAAAATCCAGCCCTAATGGTTTCTAACAGACAGAGACAATTGCAAGTTGTAGACAGGTAGTCTATAAATTTTATCACTTATCAAGATCTCACCCACTCCCAGAGAATACTTCTGCTTTAATCCTCCAAATTCCAAGTCTGTCTTTTGTATGTGAAATTCATAAGGTTTTTAAGTGGTTGTAGCCTAAGGAAAGTGGTATTGGTATGTTGAGAAGCCATTAAGGGCTTAATTTTTGTTCATTAAGAGATTAGGAAGGCTTTGCTTGGTAAATTGGTTTGCTTCTATTCTTTGTGAAAATCAAGGAATTCTCCAGTCCCTTCAAGTGGAAACATCCTTGTTTCAACTGCTCTTGGTAAACAATTCTATTACAGGACAACACTTAATATTCAGTGTTGTAATTATTTTGTCTATGTCCTGGGTCACTAGATAGATTCTGTGAAAGCAGGGTTGAACCCTTGGGCTCTTAGCACATAGCACACAACAGTGTTTAATAAACAGTTACTCATTAATGAATGATTGTTGCCTAGTTGCAGATTCAGAAGATAATTTATATTTATATAATTAACAGCTCATTATTGGTTTAGTATTAAATAATCTTTTTTTTTTTTTTTTTTGAGTTGGAGTCTCACTCTGTCGCCCAGACTGGAGTGCAGTGGCCGCTCCCGGCCACCGCAGCCTCGACCTGCTGGGCTCCGGCAATCCATCCGCCTCAGCCTTCCCAGTAGCTGGAACTACAGGCGCGCGCTACCACACCCGGCTCATTTTTGG